GGCTGAATTGCACAAAACGCATGATCGCACCGGCTAGTCTGGTGCGCGTTGCTATTTATTATCTTTTTACAATCCTTCATAATTATAAACCACCAGAATTTCAATTTAAAACTCATTTTTTTACTTCTCTCAGCAGCCAACACTTCATCGTAAAGCACTCGGACCTCATCAGAGCAGCTGAAGACTTTTCCACAGGCCTCAATGTTGGGTCGTTTCCAAAATGAGCTAAATTAAGTTTTAATTTTCGTAGAAGTCCTATGAAAACAGTGAAATATCGCTGATGTTAAGGTTGGCAACAGTTGACTGATAACGCAAAGGAACAGAAATTAGGCCTCGAAATTAAATGTAGTAAAATGTGTGTCCAGAACCAAAATTCCTTTTTATAATCACTTTTTACGGTGGCAGTTTGAAATAGTCCGAAACATCATCCACCTACTAGCAAGGCTGTCGATGGTTTCCTCTTTTGAAAGTCATTAAAGTAACTTTTAAATCCTTCTCCTTTCCCTTCCTCTTTCACCCCACTCCTGCTTCATCCTCTCCCACTAGCAGTTCTTCGTTCCTTCTGCTTTTTTCTGTCGTCTTCCTCCTTTCCTTCTCCTTTAAGCACTGCGACCGTTATACTGACAAGCTCCTGTCACATATATGAGTCATTGAACCGAAACGTCTTGGCTCACTCTTACCCCCAACCTTCACTACCCTTTCTTGCTTTGCGCACTCCATCGTCTGCTCTTCCAAGATTGACCTGGAAGCTGCAACCTGTCTGGATTAAAGTGTATATGACTTAATGGACCGAAACGTCTTATCTCATTCTGATTTCCTTCTCTCATATTGTAATCTCTCGCGCCTTCGCCACTTAGGCTTCCAAGGTCAGCTTGGTTGCTACGTTCTGGTTGTTAGCGAGATAATCGCCTAACATATGGCAGCACCAATTTATCATTGAAACGGATGAATAAATGTTAGAGGGATTGGTTATTACACTTGCGGAATTGAACCTCTTTTTTAGCACAAATGAAGCTCTAATTGTCACTACGCTGTCCGCAAGTAGTTTTTTGTGAAGCATAGAAGAATGGGGAGTAAACAAATGGCAACGGAGACAAACGAAGTGATAACACGTGAAACAGTACTATTTAAGCGTGCTATACAGCAGAGTAGCATCCTATCCTAGGACTGGTTCTTCGTTCCTTCTGCTTCTTTCTGTTGTCTTCTTTTTTCCCTTCTTTAAGCATCGCCATCATTATACTGACGAGTTCCTGTCCCGGTGTTGAGCTAAGACGTATATGACTTAAACAAGGAAGGGACAGTGAAAGGAATGGGGGAGGGGAGGGGGGCGGGGTTGGTTGAGATAGAAACAGATAAATTGATATTTTAAAGGATAATCTCGTTATAAATCGGGTACTGCTCCGAAGCTACGCCTGCATAACTTTGATGTTTTTTAGGTCATTGGATTGGGTAAAATAGCTGCGATTGTGCTGATTGTAATGGGACAAGACCCGTTTGCTTCAGTTGGAAGGCCGACACCGCGCATTTTTGCCTGGGCACTAAACAATAAGCTCTCATCATGCATGATGCTTTTCCTGCTTTCAAATACCATTGAAAGTTTGTATTTTTGCATATTTCACTTTTTGAAGTGTTGAAATTTCATTGGGAGCACTTCAGCTTCTTGCATAAAATGCCGCCGAAAAGATCAAAAATCAGAAAATTCTTGAAACTTGAAAGCCTCAGTTTAATGAATCTCTTTGTATTCATGGACCCCGATCAGTAACAGATTTTTGGGTGATCTTTCATGCCTAATCACTTTGGAACCCTGATTTTCAAAGTTGAAAGTTTTTACGAACAACTCCGCTGCTGCTTCGGTATGAGCGATGCTCCCGAAAGAAAATTTGAAAATTCATAAATCACTGAGCACCCTGTTTCTATAAATTTTTTGTTGGTTTTATTACAGGTTCACTGATGTCAACGGGAGCATTTGAAATTTATTTGGGTGATGAACAAATATGGTCAAAACTTGAAAGTGGCCGAGTGCCATCACCAACCGAGCTTCTTCAAGTGATAGACCAGCACATGGAGTTACAAGGAGCAAAAGTAGGTTCTTTAAACCAATAGTTTTCTTCTTTGGTTACAGCGATCTTTGAAGGCTTATCTCA